GCCTGTGGAATCGTTAATTTCAGAAGTGCATTTGTACTGCAGAATTCACAGCATTGTGCTTCGAATAGGAACTTAACGACGTTGCTTTTCTACATTCGATGTTTGGGGGTTTCGCTTGTGTAGAGTTGGACAGATGTTTGCTTTCAGAATCCCACTGCCTGGTTTGTTCGCTTGTTCGAGTTTGTGTCTGTGTTTTAAAGAGAGAGGAGGAGAGAAGAAAAAAGAGAACTCCTCCATCGCATGCTCGGGTCGACTGTCATCTATACGTGTGAACAGGCGGGGTTCAGCGGCCTTCGATATCGGGGGGCCATATAATTATCTACCAAGCACACGCCGCGCATGACACGCTTCGCGCCTGTTTGTTCAAGGTGGCGCACGGGAGTTGCTCAGCTTGCCGCATGTCGGCCGCCGACTGCGACGCGCTCGTTTTCGTGCCCGTCATCCGGACCGACAGCGCTCCGTACTAACGGGCACGCCCCGCGGGAAGCACAATGTGGTGTCACAGCTGTTCAACCGCACCCTTTGTTCCCGAAAAACAGCGATTGATTGATTGACCCGCACAGCCAAAGAGTTTCGAGAGGCTGAAATCGCTTTGAGCTGATACTCCTCATGGTGTCTCCCTCGTTTTCCGAGCATTAGCAACGAAATAATGTGGAATGTAAGGGCAAGGCCATCATCAATATGGATTCACAAGATGTGTCGAAGTGTTAGAACGCTGCATGTGTGTGCCAGACACTTGTGTGTGAAGTGGACATTCGCTACCCTTATAGGTCTGTTCTACTAATTAGGATGGTAAGCATGCAGCTGGGATGCGACTCGGACATATCACACTAAAGCCAAACATTTTATATTGCTTCACCCGCTGAATAATGGATAAGATGGCTGGTTCACCACTCATGTATTTCAATCAAACAGGTGTGTATGTATTGATTTTATGCCGTTGTAACGAAGCTTAGGTCGTTAGGAAGTCAAGCTTTTTTGTTAAATATTCTTCATCACGAAACATTCTCGGCATACAAACACGGGCACCACAGCAGTTGTCTCTTTATTACTCTTCTGTTTTGTCCATGATTGCACGCCCACCTGCTTTTGTGATAATTAATATGCATTGTTGCGAATCCCTCAGATTCGAAAGAAAAAAAAACAGAAAAAAAACTGACAGCATATCCACGGGGTGAATGATGGAGAATAGAGCGAAGCTGGGTCTGCACGCCGCGGCGCGGCGCCGCTTTGGCCTCCCGTCCTCGTACGCCAGAATCTCGTAGGCGGCGTCGCGCAGCTTCACGGCACGCTTCTGGCTCGTGCGCTCGCACGTCGGGGTTACATCTTCGAGTGCGAGCCGCCGCCTTGCGCGCACGCCGCTCTGCAGCCTTGTCCATCCGCCATTCTGCCGACCTTCTGAACGCGTGCGCGCGCCAAGACGGCTTTCATTTTACTACACCGCGCGCCCTAGCGTACGGCGCTGCCGACGAACACGTGATCGCCAACGTCTTCGTGTGACGTCATTCCTATTTTCTTGCGCGCTCGCACATCGGGATGGAGTCTTCGAGTGCGAGCCGCCGCCTCCTTGCGCGTATCGTACTTGTTATCGGCAAACCTTGAATCATCCGCTGGCCGCGTCCGTCCGTCGTCTGCCTGTCTGTCTGTTTGACGCACGAGTGGAGGGACGCATGGACGGAGGCATTGACGAACGCAGGGACGGACGGATGCACGAATGGACAGACGGACGCACGGACGACGGACGCGCAGGTAGACGCACGAGAGGACAGACGGACGGACACATGGATGGATGCCCGGACGGAATGATGGACGCTTCGCCCCACTCATCATCATTCACTCCATGAATATGCTGTAATTTGTAGTATTTATCATATATAGTACCCGTAACGTCCTGTAGTATCGTACCATTTGCATTTTCCAGCGTATATGCGTTTAGTTATATGTACATGTACCGCGCCCTATGGCGGGCTCAAGAACTAACTAGAGGTGGCTTCATACGATTACAATGAGACGCTCAGCCCGCGCCTTAAGAGTCTTCGCTCCTAAAAACACACACACACACACACACACACACACACACAACACCGTTACATGGGAATTTTCTTTTTCCTTCATTCAAACAATTTTATTTACCAGAAAAGCAATAAGAAACAACACCTCGGCGAAAAGCACTTACAGCAGATTGACAATGGCCCAGGGGCCCAGGGCCAGTTACGTAACAATAGCAAACACGGGACAGATTTCATAATAAAGTGATTAACTAATATTGTTCATATGAAAAAGGTGTATGCATAACCATGGCCGCTGGATAAGAAAAACTTTTTTTTATCCAGCGTGGCATAATCGTCATATTATACGTACGATGCATGAAATGTAGCGTTAACATTAATTTCGCACTTCAGTAATAGACTTAGACTCTCCTCGGATGATAAGATAGAGTTTGCTTTGCAATCGACGAAGTAGTCTCGCTGACCATAATTCTCTCTCTCTATCTCTCTTATTTTCGAATATTACCACTTATTAATATACATTCTTGCCTGGTACGTGTGACCGTCGTAATTCTTAGTTCATCAACAGACGGCCTGCGGTTTCGCTTGGTTAATTCTGCGCACTTGGTGTCGTACAACGTGACACTGCCTTGACAGTGTATGTGACAGAGTAAAACATGAAAGAAAAGAAAAAAATACGAGACCATTTGCAATACTTTACGAAGCTATGAACACTTATAAGAAAAGGGGAGGGTGGGGGCAGAGAAAGAGAGAGCACATGCATAGAAGCCACATTGTACGTGTCTCGCAATGGAATAAATGTACGGGCCTATTGTGTATCGCGACCTCGTTTCTCCATTTACGAGCCCGCTTGCGAGACGATATGTAACTTCACCTATTTGTTTGCCTTCCCAACTCGACCGCGCAGTCCCTGCGGCTTCCACAAAACGCCTATGCAAAGGAAACAAAACGTTGCCCGACTATTGCGACTGAAAGCTCTACCTTAATCGTGCGCCTACACAGTACGTGCGCAGCTACGTGCAGGATACTCCCAGCAGGTTCAGAGTTGCGGGACATGTCATTTGAGGCTCTGACGGTTTGAATCGAGGGTATTGCGTAATATGTCGGTCATCAACACAACACACGCGTTTATTAGTGGCCCTGATTTTGTGACCCTGACACTATAGTCCAAGCTGAAACGGGTCGTGGTGGCCGCATTTTTGATGGGGTAGAATGCAAGAACGTTTCAGTGCTTAGATGCCCCCCTTACGTTGGCGTGAGTCATGAGGAAAAAAAATTTTAAAATCGCTCGTGCGCTTACGTTAGGTGCTTTTTCGGCATGAACTTGGTTTTATCTTCGCTGAATGGCTATAGTATATTATATTAATTATAGAATATTAAAAACACGACTCAAGTGGCGTTTGAAAAGCTGTTTCCACTATCCATGCAACGCCGAAGGAACATTATGGGATAGCACATTCCACCAATATCATCGTTTGTGTTCATTTATTTTTTTTTTTACCACTCGCCGCGTTTCAAAGTTATGTTCGGCCCCAGAGAGCAACCGAGCAGGGATGCCAGCTATATTTCCAGGAAATGCGCTTGCTTCGATTCTTAGGCGGAGTCAGGCACATTGTGGGAATGTCAGAATTGATGTTTTAGCATGCGGTAAAGCTGTAAACTTCGTCCCAACAAGGGGCAACAGTGGTTCAAATTTTCCCGCTTGCGCGGGTGTGTGGGAAGGGAGGGAAAGTCAAGCCGAACTACAACTGTCCCTAGAATGAAGTGCCCGCAAAGTAAATTTGTCATAGGATCAAGATTAGGAAGCTTTTGCAACATTCCAGCATCATATTATACTTGCGTAATGAAATGCAGCTGCTGTGGTATATGCCCTGTGTTAGGGTATTGGCCTCCACCACCGTGTTGACAAATTCGGGGGGAGGGGGGTGGGTAGAATGAAATTATTGTGGTACACGAAAAACTAAAAAGAAAGGTAAAACTTAGCGAACCCTATGTTCAGTATTAACCTCAGGTCTTGAATAGAGGATCTCTTCTTCATTAAGACATTGTATTCCCTCATCTTCCCCTCCTACCTTATTCTCTCCCTTTCAACCCTTAAATAACTGTACAGTAGCAGGCTAGCTTAGACTGATCACTCCATCTTTCGTACCGTTAAAACTTCATCACTTTCTTTTTGTCCTCTCTTTAGTCCGTCTCTAGAAACATCCGCCAAATCCAGGTCGATAAACGGTGGCGCGAATGTGAATGGGCCTCGCGCTGTTTTGGTGCTGTGAGATGGGGCATCCCAGTGACTAAACGCACAGAGGCCACGAATTCCCGCCCAAGTGTGGGATGGTTCGACCCAAAGGAACAAGCTGCGCAAATGGATGAGCAACACTACGATTCGCATAACTACTGGGAAGGAATTGGCTCTACGGCGTGCCATCTTTCCTGTATGGCAGCTTGCGGAAGTACTTCAGTGAAACGTAGAAAATGCAGAATGAAAACGGCAAACGTAGAAAGCGCCTGACATATTTCAGCTATATATGTATAAGCGGCGTGCCCAAGGTCAAATTGCCTTTATTGACAATTCTAACGTGAGCGCAGATTCTTCAAAGCGGGGCTATAATCAACCTTATATTATTGTTGCTACAACCTCTCTGATGGTAGTAACGGCTGCGGTTTACCGGAATACTACGGGCTTCCGCTGTCTCACGCACGCCATCTGCAGCATGGGATGTAGTCATCGGCATGCACACACACAGGCGCGCGCGCGCGCAAAATCCGGCCGTCTGCATTTCCAACAGCACGGCGCATGCGCGTGCTACGTCATTTGAAGACGTCATCGAAGAGGTGACGTAACGAGTGTCTTTTTTGGAGTTTTCTCCTCGCTTCTCTCTCGTTCTTGAGTTGCTTGAGTATCGGCGGCAGCGGTAGTACGCGTGGAGGGAGAGAGAGAGAAAGAGAAAGAGGATCCAGAGGTGAGTGTGCGCTTGAGCGTGCGAAAAGCTGCGGGCTGACTGGTCGAGTGGAGGAGAGAAACAGCGCCGCCGCCGCTGCCGCCGTAGTTCCCGTGTTCGGGTCGACTCACCACTGTCCGTGCGTCGTTTTTGCCGGGCGTAGGCGCCTCGTGTGGCACGGCTTGCTTGTTGGGACAGCGGCAGAACAGACCGGGCGCGCGCCCTAAAACAACGCAGCGGGTCAACACGTAGCTCAACAAGTGGTTGTCGACAGTCGGCGCAACAAACTCTGTGTGGCCTGGGATCGGTGGATCGGACGCTGCCTTTTCATGACCGGCTTCGACGGCCGTCGAGTGTGCGAGCAAAAACAGGTCATTTCTTCGGCTGTGTACGCGATGGAAGCGTGGCGATGGACGACGGCAGGCCTGCTGCTCTTGTGTGCTTGTTTGAGTGCAGTTTCGGCGAGCAATTTGGATACGGTGCACGCGACCAGGTTCGCAGGCCAGCCCGGTTCGCACTTCGGCTACACCGTGGAGCTCATCATTAACCGGGACGGGAGATTGTAAGTTATATACAACGTTCATTGCTATCGCTAGTATCGTTGCCTAGTGTTATTGATGCTTAATTTGTCTGCATTTGTGTTGCGGCCAGCTTTACATGACTTTTTAGTCGCAGTGATACTGAATTCAGTTTGCGCGAGTGCTCAAAACAGATTGGGTAAGCAGATGTAAATCATAAGCATTAGTAAACAGAAAAAAAAAACCCTGCTGGGGGTCGTTTAGAGCGAAGTTACTGCCATGTTAATCAGTCATTCACTGTATCTTTTCACTCGACATGTGCTTAACAGATGTGTTTCGCTGACTGTGCGATCGAACACCCATTGTACTGCCGATCGTATGCGAGCTGAATCGCAAAAAGTCGATGAGGCACGTGAAGACGCCGCGCTGTATTCTTCGCTCGAAAAACTTTTTCTCGAGATGACCTTGCCGTGGGCACGCAAGGAGATTATTTACAACCGTTGTGTGTGCGCACGCTTGTTCTGTAACTTCAACTAAACGTTTTCTTTACAACGTTGGCGTAATCTGTGCGTTGCCTAACTTGTGGCGCTATTGTGTTTCCACGTTAGTCGTAAATGTAGTCACCGTGAATCATTCTGCTCGCAGAAGAACCGCGTTTATTGTCTGATTAACTTTTTTTTCTCGACATTTCCGCAGATTTGTACGAACGTGCAAAGCGTTTGGACGACTTCGCGTGCTGATCGCGTGTATCAGGAATAGATTGACTGCCACAATGACAGTAATCTGAGGGGATCACTGCGTCGATAAGTTTTTGTCTACGAGCCTTGAAGGATTATGATTCGTGTTATGATTCATTCCTGACTTTCGAGGAGGCCCCGTTTTTGTTTTCAGTTACTTCTTTAGCTGAAAATTTTTTGCGAATCAGTGTTCGACGTGCGTGAAATCCTTACCACGCGTCTTTGATGTGTTCCGCCTCGTATAGTAGTATAAAGCAAAACAACAACAATAAAAAATATGCGCTATTGTACCACGATATCGTGTGGCGTGCACCTGCCCGTTCCGGTGATTCGGGGCTGGGAAACTGCCGCGTGTTCAACGAAAAACAAAAGAGAGAGAGAGAGAGATCGAGGCGGGCTTTAAAGATCTGTAATTACGGCCGTCGATTTGAGCCGTAACCATGTATAGGCCACGCCCCTCTTCTCTCCGCGTCACAGTTCTCTCAGTCGGATCAGCCGTGGTTCTCTCTGCGTCGAAGCAGAGATCGTTGCCCCGTGTCATGACAGGTGCGTTCGATCAACCTTCGGGACTAAATGAAAAATAACCTTGAAGACGTAGCGAGCATGTGAGGATAGCAAGTTGCTTACGTTCGTACCGCTGACGTGTGGAATGAATCAGGCCGGCAGCAACTTGAAAGAGCGTAACGAAGCTTCGCTCGAGCGAAAGGAGATCTACGCACTTGCTCACGGCGTTTTCAGCCCCTCTGAAACCCCACAATGTGCTGCCAGACTCGTGAGTTTGTATTGCTTTGGGTAGCCATGTTTCAGAAAATAGCTGGTGCAGTACATGTACGGAACAAGTACGACGGGACGGAGGATGAGTACAATGACTGTTAACAATGCTTCGATGTAGTTTAATATGTTTACTATTATTATTTTATTAGTATTTCTGAATAAAGTCATTGCGATGTTGGCGCCTGTGAAGGTACACCCGCGTTCATTGCCCGCGTGCACTTTGTTTTTTTTTTTTTTACTGCCTCACTTCCTGAAAAACTTTCTCACGAACGCAGCACCACCATCATTCATAGCTGTCACGGTAAAACCCACAGCATAAAAAAAAAAACGGATCGGGAGCTGCGCAGTCGATGCAGTTATTTTCTATAAATCCGTTGTGAACGCTTTTGTAGTATGTGACCTTGGACTGATTAAAAAATTATTAAACAGGGACTGTCGCTGGAGTGAAATAACGTTTCAGCAAGTGGACTTGTCTGTTCAAGACGCTGGCTACAGTGGCATTCTTTGTCCGGCGATTTCTGTTCATCACTTCAAGCCCTCATCTTCCCGTTAAATTCTGTCATGCTATTAGAAGCTATTCCGCAAGGCAGCCCAACTCGATCGCTGTGCGAAATAGTTAACCGGCTCTTGCACGGTACTCAGAGTCCTCTTGAGTCTTCAGCAAGGTTGGTTATTCAACTGGATTCCGGCTGCGGCGACTCTGACTAGTCGCCAAGAAATAAAGTTTACCGTCATCTCGCACTGAGAGAGGGGATCGGACATTGCATACGGCGCCCTTCTGAGTTTCTTTTGCTTCCGCATCCTTGAGAGACAGCCCTGAGATCTGCGTTTATGGCATGTCTAGCCGTCTCGCTGTCTTCACGTCACGATGATCCAGATGCGCACGTCACGAGTCAAGCTCGACCGCCGGGGGCTTCAGTGTCTGCGAGCGTGACGGAAGATTCTGTGGTTGAAGAGCGGGTTCGGGAGGACACACCTGGCCACGCTGCAAGACTGCTCCCCGCGTGCGTCATTTTGAATGCATGTATTCAGAGTTATGTAGTCTTCTTCTCCAGTGCGGTGCGTGCCGCCGCATTCTTCCACGTGTTTCGTGCACGGCTGACGCACACCCGTCGGCGTCTGTGTGAAGAGTTTCCTTGGCGTTCTTCTCTTTCCCGTCCGTCAGAAGATGTTCTTTGGTCCCGGAGAGAATTCGATAAATATATGCGGAATTGCTCGTACGAGCTGTCTTATCGCTTTGGGCATTTCCGCTTTTCCCTGGGTGTAGGACCATATCTCGCTCGCATGGAACTGTAGCGTCTATTCCACGGGTGGGTTGATATTACGGAAGCCAATGTGTTTACTGTCCCTTAAGTCCTTTACCGCGCTGTTTCTCAGTTTCTCGGATAGGCACTTCTTTTCCTGGTGTGTCCGCTTACGGGACAGTCACTGGTTTTAAGTGTACAATGACGGTAGAGTACCGCTGAAACTTCTGTAAGTTATAGCCACTGTACTTCTGTCACGCTACCAGGGAAGATCGCATTATCCGGGAAAACGTAAAACTCGGTACCGTTTGGTGCAGCGCTGCTGATGAAGCAGAAAACAGTCTTTTTGCGGAAGTTGTAACAGACGGGAAACTAATCATCCCATCGTAAATGAGCAAGACCGATGTCGTCGAGCCCAAGAACAAGTTAAAATGTGTAGCACGGACGTTGATAGGCTGTGGCACAGGAGTACCATGGCTGACGTCACTGCGTCGACAGTGTTTTCTTTTGTTTTTAAGGGTGGGGTGTGGCGGTAGGGCTAGTCAGGCCTATTAACCACCGATAGTTATAGCGCGAGAACAGAACGACGACACAGGGACAAGAAGGACACAAATGTCATACCAACTAGCTTAAGCTGCCACACTTCTATTAACCGCCGTTGAGATGATTATGCCCTCCAAACACCTTGACAACATGCTCTTTCCTGGCGGACCCCCCCCCCCCCCTCCCCTAAAGATGAAGTGGCCTTGATCTGATAGCGTGAATGCCACGTTAACTATGAAATGAAATATAGATGTTCCTGTGTTTTTGCTCTGGTAAATCTATCTCACTTAGTTGTTGCCCACGAAATAACACATCGAGACGAGTATTATTTTTTTTTTGTTAATCTCCTTGGTCTATACGTAAACGTCTGAGGACACGTCTTGTCGTTGCCATAGTCGCCACAATCGTCTTTACGCCATAAGCCGATGAAAACGGTCGAGCGTGATTAGGATTCAGGTGTCCGCCGGATGATCCAAGAGAAGCTGCGCCATGTTTTCGTCGCCTTCCCTGTGTCGAGACGCGTTTCTCCAAAGCACGTTTCAGGGCTTCCTCTGCGAAAAGATCAGAACGAGAAGCACCTGAGGAATGTAGAACCCGCGACCGTGGCTAAACGGTCGGAAAGGACGGTCCCTCCGCGCTGAAAAAAAAAAAAAAAGAGAGAGAGAGAAACGTCGAGAGGGGCCAGCAGGTGAGACGGTGGGGAGCCACTTCGGCCCGAACCTCGCAAAAGCAAAACAGCATCAAAACAAGCGCAGGCGGCGTTCGAGGGAAACCTGTTGTGTTTGGCTGTACGGGCGCAGCCGGATGACCTCGCTTTCCTTCGCTTGGCTTCTCATTCTACGTCGATGACGAGTCTTCTTCCCCGAGACGCGGGTGTGTTTGTAATAGGTCCTCCTCGTCTAGCTCGCGCACGGGCGCATTTCATACGCTTGACGTCCAGCACAACTGGTGCTCTCCATCTCGGGTCTTTTTCTTTCGCTCTCTCTTCATTTCTTTATGCCTTTCCCACAGTGTAGTGTAGTCGATCGCACCTCCCCGTCTACCCTTCCTTCTCTTTGTGGGCATATTAGAGGTCCGTTCGATTCACCTGCACCAGTCAGAACCGGTTCATGGCTGTGCACGTGAAGTTCAGAAATTGTGCAGCGTGAGTTCAGTGGTGCAGGCACAGCACGACACCCGAAACGAATGACGATGTGCCGACAAGGTGCAGGCCTTATTTCTTTTCGCTTAATTTACATCGTTCAGCTAACACTGAACGATGGTAAACCGCACATGTGGACAGTTTATGCGGCCCAAACATCTTGGCAAAGCACACCGCGTTAGTAGAGGCGGGTACGGCGCCTACGCCTAAGTGCTGTGTCGTCTGCTCAGCTTCACACGCGGCTGCACCAAGCCGGCACCGTCAGCGTAGGAGGTGCAAGAAAATCGTGAACCAGTGCTACACCTCTTCTGTACCTTTCGAAACGAATGGCAGGGTTCATAGGCCGTCATTGCTGCACCGCTGAAACGAATGGCAAGAAGCAGCACCTCGTGAACTGGTTCACGTGGTGCAGGCGAATCGAACGGACCCTAGGTCTCCCTGCGTACAGACAGGGAATTAAGAAAATGCTGACGTCTGAGTGCTGACAGGCGGGGGCCATTTTAAGATTTGTGCTGACTCATTGTCGCTTTGACTGCAGCAGCTTCGTTCTCTCTCACTGTACTGGTTCCGAAAAAAAAAAGAAAACATTTCGCTCACAAAATGGG